ACTTTTAAGTTCCAACTTTTCACCCAAGTGGCTTCAGACAAAGGGTAGCCCTTCCATTGCACTAAATACTGCAAGCGACCCCTATTCAACTTAGAGTCTACAATCTTTTCCACCTCAGATTGTGGTTCCCCTCCTATCACTATAGATGGTGTTTCCCCTTCTATCTCTAAAGCAGGAGAGAAAGTTTGGGTGGATGCTCTTATGCTAGACCCATTTAGCAATAGCAGTAGTAGACTTATATACCGCTTCATAGGCCTTTCAGGCCTCTCTTTACTGGTTTCAACAAGCTGCAATGAAATTCCAGGCCAAATTTCCCTAGACTTCTGGGTAGACTGAGCTGAACTATCATCACTATAGGGAATGGACCTAGAAATTTTGGACCAAATTCCTTGCTAGGCATTCCTAATCTTAAGTATTTGGTAGACACAAAAACTTTCTACCCCACAGCTATGTGCCAACATGCCTGCTTTATTAAATTGGAACTTTAAGCATAGTTTTGCCTTCGATTCTGATTTGCTTCTACATGGTATTTGGAACGCTGACACAATGTACACTACAAACTGAATGATTGTTTGAAGAGAAATGCATGTGTACCAGTGGTGGAATCCGGATTCCGTTCCAACCGGTATGGTTGGAATGGCCCCGGCTTCACCCACATGCATGTGCGCCACGCGCACCACACGCACATGCATTGTAGCTGGAAACGACGCTTCCGCAGGCCTCTGCGACGCTCCAGCTGCTCAGCGGAGCGTCATGCAGGCACTGTGCGTGCCATGCACGTGCGTGGAAGTGCCAACAGCTTTAAAACACAGTAAGGAGCGTGAGCGGGCAGGTGGGCCTTCCGAAGCACCATACCAGAATGGTATCCGGTGCTCCAGGCTGGCTCCGGTATGCCCGTACCGGGGCGTACCGCCTGCAACCCACCACTGATGTGTACCAACAAGCTCCTCTAAGTGTGAGGAGGAAGGGCAAGCAGTAAAAATGAAAGTGAAACCTTCTAAGCAGCTTATAAATATAATATTAAACAGCACCTGCCATTTCAGATCCATCATAGCAGAGCTTGTTAGTGGGCATCCACTCATCTGCTGGCTGGGAATTCAGGAAACTGAATTCCACACATTTGGGAATAATGCACAGGATGGAAAAGAATAATGTGGACTGCCTTCCAAAAGTACAAGATATTAGTAGAAATTATAGACTTCAGTTATGCCATTTAAGAAATAGCCAATAAATTTAATAAATAAATAAACAAACAAAACAAAAATAAAAGCAACCTGTACCTTGAAGGTGACAGGGAACGTCATACTCAATTTCGTCATGTCTTGACGGGCTAAGAAACAAGGTTCCATCCACCAGTGGAAACTGTTCAAATACAGGCAATGCTCTATGGCATAACGCACAGTTGACAACATTTCGATGACTGGCACTGAGTGCTGCAAGAATGAATTTCCGTAAATCTTCTCCTTGACCCACTTGGGCATCATCCTCCATACGGACATGGAAAGTGTTCAATTTATGCCTAGGTATGTGAGCAAGGAGTTCAGATAGATCAAGCCTTCTCAAAAATTGTACTGGAGCATCAAAATGTCCTGATCTATGTGCTTGTAACCCAGATGTCCCATAATCAAAGTGAGCATTTCTAAACATACCACTATTGGCCATATTCTTTCTATGAGGTTCTAAATGAATTGCATTCTTCAAAAATTCTCCTAAATATCGTGAAGAGCGGGGTCCACTGAAATGGGTGGGGGCAAGGACAGAATAACCTGCAGGGGGGGACTGTCCAGGAGAACCACAGGGAGAACGTACTGCATAGCTACTGCTAGAAGTGCCTTTCTCTTGAGAGTTTTGCCTATCCATTGAATGCCGTCGTTGGAGATCATGGTTTAAACCTTTCTGTGGTTTGTTAGCAGACCTGCACTTTTTAAGATCTTCTGAAGACTCAGATGTTGATCTTCCACTGCTTTTTTCGGACCCTGATTTTTTCTTCTTTTCATCCTGCATTCGTTTTACTTGGTACCAATCTGTGTCTTTTTTTAAATGGCCTTGCCCACATCGACATGAACAAAAACGGAAGGCAAGATCATATCCTTTCTTGGTCCACATATTTTGCCGACACTGTTTCTCGTTCCAACTCCTTGCTCTTCCGATGCAATTAAATTGAGCCAGAATGCTGCTCTCCCATTCATAAAAACACTGAAGATGCATCCAAGTGCTGTAGGGACAATGCTCGTTGTTGCAAACAACTTTCTGGTAGTCATCTTTTTCTAAGTCAACAGGCCGTCCAAAGCTACACAACAATGGTGTAGCACAAGGTGCTTCTGTGGAATGCAGAAAAGAGAGACAGATGAGCTGTATGATTCAAAATTAACTACTTACTATCTTTATTACTACAAGAGAACTATACTAAACTACAATCCAGGAGTTTTAAGCATATATGTAGTACATTTAAACTATGCTGAATATGTATAAAATAATAAAATGGAAAATGGAAAACCCGAAATCAGAAAAAAGAAATACCGATAACAGAAAGCTGTAAAAGTGTAATTGTGATTTTAATGTTTAGAAAACGTCAAATAAAAAATATATTTAAAAAAACTATGCTGTGAACTGAGATTCCACGTGTCACTAGTATTTTCCTTTATAAATGAGCAGAGTAAGCCTAATGGATAAAACCTTTATTTGATTGTTCACAATACCTAAAAGCTCCAGAAGACACCAAAGCATATAATTCAGTACATTTTGTTTAAAGCACCGAGTTTGAATTTATGACATGTTTATTTGTTTAGTTTATTTCTTACAAAATGGATTAGATATCTTATTACAATGTTTTCAGAACAAATCATAACAAAAATAATTATCAGACTGTTTTTATTTAACAGCAATAAAGTAGTTAATATATTGTTACCCAGATATGTCTTTTTAAGACAGTTGTATAGACCTGAACTTATTTCTGGTAATTGCAAGTTTGTAGTATTTTTCAGTATTAAGACAAAAATTACCTACCAATGACATTAATTTAATATTAATATTGTACACTATTAAGAAGTTATTGAATTAAGTTTTGATGTGGATGAGTCAAAGAATATTGATATTTAAGGCAAGCCTGCCAACATGTAAACATCTTTCAAAACTACATGTCTATAAAAAAAAGTGTATTCCAGAGTCAAAAATTAAAATGGTCTTTGACATATTTGAAGAACTTCAATAACTGTTATGTTTGAGAAATAGATCTTTTGATTAACAAATATTTCTAAGTGCAAAGCCTTAGTAAATTAGATTTCAGGAATTTAAACCTTTTGATATGGTAAAAGAAATATTTTTAGAGAGAATAATACAAATTATGCTATAAATATAAATTCAGCCCTAATATTTGGAAACATAACCTATTCTTCCGAACCCCATTTGAAATCCCACAACTATTTTAAGAAAGCAGAGATTTCTGGTAACAATATGTGACAACCAGAACAATAAAATGAGGATCAATTATCCACATATACTTGGAATGTTTTGATTCGAAAATCCATATTTTCTTTTTTCATACTTAATTATTAGTAAATTCCATAACATAATTACCAAGAATAATCACTACACAAATTATTGTGAGGCACGTGAATCTAAAGTAATAACACTGTAAATCCTATTTTCATACATTTTTTTTAATATATTTTTTATTATGTTTTCATTCTATACAATCACATATTCACTGTGCTTAATCAGGGCATAT